AGTACCTACACGACTTTAATATGTAAAACAATGAAAGCTCGCAAAACATTTCGATGTAAATATCGAGTTAAGTTTCAAGTTAAGGACTTAGTTATACCGGTTTACTAAGGAACGGTTAGTAGGTACTTTAGATACTTGTAGCTGAACGAGTCGTGGGTTTGCACTCCGTTGGGACTGGCCATTGTTCTCAGTATGGCCTGAGTAACTCTATGCTAAGTCTAGTACATAATAAGTAGTTGGACCTACTTGGTCATAACCTTGTTTGTTACCCTGACAATCAAACGACCATAGATAATGTAAAAAGAAATCGAGCGCCATATTTTATTTTTAAGAAAAAAATAAGTTCGTAATTATTTTGGTATCCTTTTGTTTTCCTGTGTGGTTTAGTGCTATACCCGGGAGTGTAGGGTTAATTAATATTGCTGGGTTCTCAATTTTCAAATTCTCAGGTTAGTAGAGAAATAATCTAAATTCCGTGCTGTGTTTCACCTAGATACTTTGGCACAATGTTACGCCAAGTAGTAAGGTAAAGGTACCAACTATTAATTTAGGTAGGAAGGTACGTAAATTGAATATTTAGAGACATAATTTTCATTATTATTAACTTATCCATCAATAGAGGTTTGGTAATGGCCACTAATCGATTAAAGGGACGAATACTGGCGTCAGCTTAATGAATCTGGAAGGGATGAGCACTACTTACCACAGCTACAAAATAAATATTATTAACAATAAGTAGGCAATACATATACCTACATATACATATGTCCGTAGGCACTTCAATACGATTTACATAGGCTTCCTGAATACGAAACACGAGTTTATTAAATATTCTTAACGAAAATAAATATTCATTTATTTTAAAAACCATCGTTGAATCCAATAAAATGAAATGAAAGGATCGCGATCGCTTTTCAAAATGGCTTCTCTTACAAGTATACTTATGTTGTTCATACCTGCGACAACGTTAAACCTTTTCGTAGGTATTTATAAGGTACCTATGACTATGAAAGAGTTGCCATCGTAAAAAAATATTTTCATAAGTAGATTATCTTTCCAAAATGGTGAAATTCTCTTTTAATGTTATCTACGATAAAAATAATATTAAGGGTTGTGGATACTATAGAAGAAATACAGTAAAGGATCACATGAAGGTGATTTTATGGATAAAACATAGACAATGCCGGACTAAAAGGCTTTCCAGGCACGAATATATGGACATCTAGGTCAGACATATGAAGGGGACTTTCAGTCTCCTGGCATAGCAATTCAAAGCAACAATAGAGTCACTAGTCACTAGGTACCTATAGTCTAGTCACGATCGCCTTTCACGCAGACAAATGTCTTTATCGATGATCTAAGTAATGGCTGACCTCTTCATAAAATAGGTAGATACCTATTTCATTAAATAATTATCTATAGTACCTACCTTTTAAGTAAATTGCTAGATAAACAAGGGAAATTCTATATTAGTGCCTTCATCTTTAAAATAATTGATGTTGTCACCATTTTTTTTTTCGTTGAGTTTATAGGTATTATTAACTAAGTTATACGGTAACTTGCATGAAATGTATAAAAACTTTCAGAAACTTAATCGTATTCCCAATATTCTTTACTTATTACGAAATCCTTATTTAAATTGAAGGGATTTTTTTTGTTTGTAACGACCTGTTAATTTTAATGTTCTATTTTTACCAACCACCTAATTTAACATAACTTTACGTGTTTGTACACAAGTGATACCTTGCTATTACTAGGAAGTGGCGCTCGCAAAGTTTGAAATAAGAATAAAAAAAGTCCGTTAAATTTTACTTCTGGCCACTTTCATTTAAAAAATTAACGCGTTTAACTTTTTAATGACAAATACGAGTAATATGTTAGATGCGTGTGGATGTGTTACTAACCTACGATAGTAATAGTAATTTGCCTGCTATATACAAATTTTTAATTAACTTTTTTTCCGTAGGTATTGCACAACATCCTGATCTTTTTGACTCATTGTATTAGTCATCCTTTTTAGTTAGTTTTTGAAAGAAACTAGGTAGGTACTGAAATTAGTTCTACATATACATATAATTAGGTATGTGTCTGTTACTTAGGAATTTATTGCATTTTTTCTTGTAGTATTATCACTAAATTGTAAATGACTTATTTTTATCTGCGGTCAACTTATTTCTTTGACCGACTAGTATAAAATCATTAAACTATAAAGATTTCGTGATTCACATAATTATGTAACGACATTGACATCTTGCATAATTTTACTCTTCAGTGCACCAAATAACGTACTTATTTGCCTAAAAATTAAAAGACGAGGAGGCGAAAATTCTTGAGTAAATAAGAGAATTTATCGTGTACTGTACAAATTCTTGGTTAGGTATATTTATATATTGATAAGATAACGACTCAAGTTAGATATTTCAACTTCTAGTTATAATAATCAATCTTTATTATTATTTGTAGCAAAGGTATCAAAGTACCTACTTACTTACTACAGGTAAGAATTTATTGATAGGTGTGGCGGGCGGGTCTTATCGTAAAATTCCGATAACAAACGCTTGTCAGAACCAGTCATTTTACTTAGTCATTCCGTTTTTACATAGAAAGGGAACAAACACATCATTTACTAAACTGCAATGTCAACGCCTGACATCCGGGAAAATACGTACCCGGTCTACCTACATCAGTCATCAAGTTGCACACAACAAGAACAAGTGAGAAAGGAACGATACGAACTTGTTTATGACGTCATTTAGGCACTCTCAATTTAAAAATTCAAAAGACGTTCCAAGAAGCGAACAAAAGGCAATAGAACAAAGCACCACGACAAACGTAGGGCTGCGTCAAAGAGTATGTAACCACTACGTTTAAGAGACGGGACTCCCATACAAGCCAGTGGAATCAATTTACACGGCACTCTAATACCTACATTGCAATAAATAAAAGATGTCAGCCGTCAAAATCAATAGTACCAACCTAAAAGACCAAATAGTTCTGTGGTAGCTGTATACTAGGTTTAGTATCGATATCGATAATATTTATAGGGTAGAAAACGAGGTCATATTACTTTTTTAATTTTTAGTTTCGATCTTTAAGATAAAGTTCGGATTTGAAATAAAACATTGTGTTATATTAAAAACTAAAAAATATATTTTTGTAATGATATTCAAATTCATGTTATATACGGACGGTGTGTTAAGGACCTAACTAAAATTATTTAAATTAAGTGGACTCTAATACTTAATACATATATTGGTTCAGTAAATTGGTTCTATGGGCACATACACTAAATCTTCTTTGCCAACAACTTTCACCCACTGCCGGCACCTGAAAAATGGAAAAAATCAAAATGGACAGTCCCTGACATGAATAACTCTAAATTGTGTAAACAGCTGGCGTTCATTATATAATAAATGCATAAATTTTACGAATACAGTATACATACATTTTTATCTACGTTTAATCATTAATTTCTTAAAATCTACTGGGTTTGTCGTGTCACAACTTTGTTCAACAACATCTAATAACATCATTACTTCTTTGGTGTGGTCTGGAAAGTAAATCACGAAAGAATAAATAATTCAAGGGATCTTTGGAGTTTAGCCCACACATAAGTCTGTGACTATCGATACTTGAGGTACATCACTAGTACACAATAAGTACATGAAAATCAATTTACATGTATTTGTAGCCTTTTATACTTAGAATTAAATAAAATTATATCATTTAATGCTTACCGGTCCTCATCCAAAGGAAATTTCGCCATAAACATCCTTTTCTCGCCATTTTTACGACCGGATCGTCCTCCGCAGATTTCACAAGTTAGAAACCGTTTTTTTGGTGGCATTTTACTTGAACACGTAACTAGTCACAGCCGTATCACTAACCACTAATTAACTAAACAAATTATACGTAAATTTATAAATTATAAAAATAACAACATAAACTTACAAAAACAACGACATTCAAAGTTCAAAACTTCAAACAAAATGGCCGACGGATTAGTGAAAGAAAGAGAACTGTACTGAGGGAGTGAGATGGCAATATCCGGCTACTTCCGTGTGCCATTATTTGCCGTGCCAAGCCCATACATTTTTATTTTTCTTCTAAGTTGCGCTAGGCTGGGCTGCGTGTGCACAGGTAAGAAAGCAGTTTTTACCTTTTGTGTATTGCGCCGACGCCACCGCTAGCGAATAGAGCAACAACGCGGCGAGGATGCCCCCCTCACGCCCGCGCACGATCATCATTCTTGACTTGAGGTAATTCAACTTTTTCGTATCACTACTCCGAGCACGTCACTATAGTAAAAACTTGTCACAATCTCCTACAACGCTCTCACGAAGTTTTATAACACATAACACGCACACTATCACAGATTTCAAACGCACATCCATTTGAAAAATGTTCGTTTATCCGATAAGGTAGGTAACCGCTCAGACGTGGGACGAGGCATGCAGGTAAAACGAGTAAGCCTATTAAGTTTCAATGACTTAAAACTACTTATTTATAACGTTTTACATGAACTGATCACAATTAAACACGTTCGACACGGTAGTTCTGCACAATTTTGAATTTAGAAACTTCACATATTTTCGTAAAACAATTTCGAAGTTCGGAGCGATAACGATGCGTACGCGGGACACGACCACCCGGCGCATCGTTCGCGACTCAACTGGCGTGAAGTGAGTGAACAATCAACAAGTTGCGATCGCGCGCGACTTGCGAGGCGGGCCGTTGCGCTCGGAGCGAGCGCTACCCGCGCCTATGTTCACACTCGACAAGCCCAAACAATATTGACACTGGCGCCCCCTGCCGTCCGGCCGCTGTAACACCCCGCACCTTTCCATCGTCGCCGGCCGGCCGGCAAAACTGGTCAACTGGTTATTTTCGCGCAAAAACGAGAAGACAGAATCTCTCTTCGAGCCGAACCAGTTTCTAGCACCAGTACACACCTAGTCGCTCCGCTCCAGGTACAGAAATAAAATACCTGTATATCATCAATGTAACTAGCAATTTTATTATGCGTCCGTTCTAATAACAGTCGATAAAACAATCCTGGTATTCAACAGACTTAGTATCTTGATCTTCACAGTTTCTGCTCAGCGGCTGCACTTGCACATTATCTTGATACTGGAACAATGGAAGACAGCTAATTATTTACAATCGAATTGAATGAACTGCGCGTTATTACGAAAATTATACGTAATTAGGTACATTTTAGATCGCATCTTTGGCCACTTTCAATTATGTACCAATTTATCTTAGTACTTACACATTAATTAAACTACAAACCTAACTAGATACTTAGGTACACTTAGCTAATTAATTTACCTACTATATTTAATGTGATAACTTGGGTAAACACTGTCTTGTTTTTATGGTATAGAGCATACATATTACCTGATGGTGACCAAAGGAATTACTATTACGTTTGGAATGGGGAGGAGAGAAAAGGATTGGCTACCAGTAAGTTCACATCGAAAGTGTTCTTTCACGCCGTTATTCTGTAAGGCCGTGGTATCAGTCTGGTCGAAGCAGCCTAACCAACTTTTTAAGATAAACGTATGTCATTCTTGTGTATACATTTCTATAACTACAAAACTGTTATAATGACCACCAGAAAGCAATTAACAATAAATTTATACTACATTAATAATTGACAAATTAATCGTAGCGTTACAATTTACCTACAACTTTTTAGAATGTTCTTGAATTTACATTCCAGCTTTTGGCTACTTCAATGATGCATAAATCTAACAATTTGGTACAGAAGTTTACAGATTTTTGCCAGTCAAGGTTGTGGACCCTGTGACTGTTATTATATGTTACTTTTAATTAGCATTGTTGCCAACCTCACCGCAAAATTAAAAGGCTAGATATTATGTTCTAGAACTTACATCATAATTCTCATTGTAAATGTTCTTCTCCAATGGACGTCGAGTTCTTGATCTGAAGCCAGCGCCACAGTTGCCATTGTTGGGGTTACAAGAAGACCAGGGACCCCATTCGCTTCTGGAACATCTGTCTTCACCAGCAATGTTCTGCCTCACTTCCCCTACCACTGGTTCTTCTTGTTCCCTGAAAGACAGATTGGTTTTAACAGTTGCTGATGGCAAAACCAAAGTCTCAACGACAGCAGACGACGGCAAAATACACAAGTTTTGGTCACACATAGTGTGGGAGAGCCATGCTTCGGTACGAATGGACCGGCTCGACCGGGGTGATACCACGGCCTCACAGAAAACCGGCGTGAAGCAACACTTTCGTTGTTTCAGACCCAATCCTCAATACTTAAATCAAGGGACCGGCAACATTCTTATAGTAACTGCTTTGGTACTACGAATGTCCATGGGCGGCGTTGATTGCTTACCATCAGGTAATTCGTCTCCTCGTTTGCCGACATATGACATCAAAAAAACTTCATAAATCTCGTACATAGATAGAGTGAAAACACATAAACAACTTAATAGCAATCAATTAACAGTATAATTGTGTTGTTAGGTGAACGGTAGCTGCACAATGTTTTGTGGTTTTGCTTCACATACGGAATTTCTTTGTTTGTGTGTTGCACAAATTGTTGTCTCGTTAATGCGATGTGTTTGTGTTTGTAAATGGAACAGTACATCGTGGAAAGGTGTGTCATTGAAGCAAGTTTTCTTTAAAAAATATGATACAAACTCGTAAATGTTTAATGACGAATATCACAACAGAAGAAGAATTTATTCTTCTGCAGTTATAATAAGAGTCGATTAAACATTTTACCTAAACCTTTTAAAACGCGTGGTGCGTGAAAACCTTCTTTAATGGAACAGGGTGTTAGACAATGTAACATTTAAAAAACAATAACAATAAGTCAGAAAAGAATAATAAGTATGAGTTTGCCGTAAGCCACGTTCATACGTGGTAAGTCTCCATCATTATCGCAAGTTGGTAGACTAAAGGTCTATTAGTCCGAAAAAGAGTGTCCTGTGTCAGATTGACTAAAAACCACCATGTAGGCCTACCATGACGTGTTAAATCGTCAATCTTCCGGGCGAGGAAGAGGGATGGAGCTATACAAATTTTATAGCGCCATCCCTCTTTCTCGCCCGGTTTCTCGATTCACGCCTTAACACGTTATGTTAGGCCCTCTGTTCCTTCTCCTGATCCAGGTCGGGGCCGCCATTATTGCGCTTGTTCCGCAACCCCGAGGTCCGTAGTCATCTAATATTGATAATAATGATGACTTTGTAAACAATCTTGCACTCTAATTAAATTAAGTATGAGAAACTCACTCTTCTTCGGCTTCTTCCTCTTTCTCAGCGGCCTGCTTTTCTTCTTCTCGTTCTGGAATAGAAAATAGATTGACTTAGGTATGTATAAGTATGATTTTAATTGTTCAATTGCTTAAAAAAATATTTGCTGCAGCGGCAGCTTCTATTTTAATTAGGTAATTCTAAACATTTTCCAATATTGTTTTATACAGGTTAATTAAATTATTGAAATTTCATACAATTTTAATAGTATTTTAGTTTCATTTGTTCAAAAAACTTTTCTTTGCATGCTGTTAGCCAGTAGGTAAGAAGTGGTAACACTTGCCCATGTATTTTAAGAAATGTTCACTAACAATGAATGTACAAATATAACTGTTAGTTATTGAAAGAAAAAGTATGAAATAATCTATAATTTGCTGCTAGTGCTGTAGATACTATTGATTGATTGATTGATATAAATTAATATTTTGCTTATACATATCGGCATTGTGTACAATATGGAAGACAATGTAACTACGACCTCGCGGGATTTAAAAGATTAAAACGCAGTCAATATGTTTTACTTATTTCTTATCGGACCCTAATTCAGTGCGAAAAATAACAAACTAGGTAACTTTCCTCTTCATAATATTAATTTAGATTGACCAACCTGCAGCTTCCTCGCTACATTCAGCGCCAATCAGCGGGAAAACATCTAGTCTTCTGACCTTCAGCTTAGCGAATGGTGGTAGATCATTCAAGTTTATCTGATAAAAGGGAGAGTCCACATTAAAGGAGCCCACTTCTACCCTTTCCACGTTGTCTCTGGGCGTGGAGACTGTTGGTTGTGACTGAAAATAAATGTCCCATAGTTAAAATTAATCAATATTAGATCCCAATCTCGTCTGTAACATTATTTCTTGTCATGAAGATCAGTTCAACAGTGGACATTTTTTTTTTATGTAATAGCTCGGCAAACGAGCAGACGGATTACCTGATGGTAAGCAATCAGCGCCGCCCATAGACACTCGCAACGGAGGAGTTACGAGTGCGTTGCCGACCTTTTAGGGATTAGGGACTTGGAGATTTAGGGATTGAGGAGGGATTGGGGAAGGGGAAGGATTGGACATTGGTTCCTACCTCATAAGAAATCCCATCCATAGTGCCAGCATCCCATGGATACAGAGGAATCTCTTCTTCTTCCAGCCAGCCCTCGTCAGTGCATAACTCAAACTTGGAGGTACCAAGGAACCAGTCTGGTGAGGGTCTCATGCCCACAGCTATGGAGAACAGATGGTGGAACCTATCGACTCTGAAGAGGGCATGGGAGGGTTCCGACATGTAAGGATGATGGCGTCTCTTTCCTCTAATCAGTGTCCTGGTGCCTGATCTTTCACCCATCTGAAAGGGAGAACCATTGTTCAAAAATGATTAGTTGTTGGTAGATTTAACTTCTACGGACTAAAACTGTTCGTTTTTTTAGTCAGCAAGTTTAATGAGTAAGGATTGACTTCGATTCCCGAATTTAAAAAGTAATTGATGAAATATCACAATATTAAATAGTCTAGTACCTACATCATACAGTTAACTTATTAATTTCTCACATTTCTCTCTGTTTGGAGAATGATAATTTAGATTTTTCCTGAGTTGAAATGTCAACTGACAATTTGATATGGTACCTTGGTTCTTGTTCTTGTATGACCTTTAGATAGAACTCGCGTTTGTGACTCCTATATCAAAGTAAAAGCGTCCAATTACTTTCTAGACTAGATAATACATTTTACAAATTACATTCTAATGTTGGTAGGTACATGGTTTTTTAAATTGATAGATCTATTAAAATATTTAAATTCACTGAACTAATCCGTAATCCTAGATAATAAATTACTAGATTGCTTTACAAGAGCAATCTAAAAATTGGTAGGTATATAATTTTTAAAAGAATGAACTGGCTTTAGTCTTAAAATAAATTAATAACTTAGAGATTTAAAATTTCTTTAAACTTTGCTACGATTCACAACTTAGATGTTCCCTTCTTTGTAGGTAATAAGTGGTAGAAGACACTGTAACCTCGCGTAAATCACGTGTATTTCATATGAACTGTATTAGAAATAATATGTTTTGAACCAGAATCACAGTTAAGACACAGCACAAAGCAAACATTGCCTTACCTTGGCATTATACATATACTAGGACTAAAACAGTATCTCCGCATTTTCGGGGTCCTGTTTAAAAAAACCTTTAGTAGGATAACAAGACTGAAAATATTCGTTTTACCTAAAAAGTTAAACTTAGTTTTCGCCAAAACACTAGAAGCTCTTCAAACCTTCTTATATATAATTTAGACGGTTAATTAAAACCACAGTAGCATAATCCAAAAGATGAAATAATAGTAAGCCGGCCATATTTTCACAGAAACGGTGACTGTTAAGACATGGTCTGCATCGGAAACAGACTATACTTTGGCCAAATAAGCGTAAGACATCCTCCAGCTAAGCGGAGTGATGAAAATCGTAAACATCGACTGCGCTTAATGGCTCCCTTTAACAGTGAACAGAAAAGGATGATGATGATAAGAAGAATGATGAAAAGGATGTTTTACCTGTGAGATGATTTCTCTTTCAAGTACAGAACTGTCAGCAGTTTCTGCTAATATTTTCAATCCATCGCTTGCATTGATTCCTTGCTGCCAAAGGGAGTAGTTGTAGACATGCGAACATCCGACCATATGGCTGTATCCATTGTCGTCCGGCTTGCTCGGGTAGTGGCGTGGATGAGCCACGCGTGACCATTTCCCGTAAAATATCACCTGGCAATTATAGAAAATTGTTTTATTATCATTTTATTGCAAGTATATTGAATTAATTCAAAACATAAGCCAGGCAGCTGCTCATACTTTTCTGACACGCCATTCCGAAAATACCTCTCTTATATTATTTCCTTTGTAAGTGACGGACTACTTAAATAACTTTTTTTTCATGGATAACTTGTCATTATCTTATCATCCCTATTATAATGAGATTCTTACAATGCATCAAGTAATCAAGTCAGTAAGAAGACCATGGTGTATGATGATGTCCCGTGAATTTAAATTTAGAATTATTACGAACTAAGAATTTCAAATATAGATATCTAAAACGTAGTCGGCGAGTGAAACTCAATCCACAAGACGAATTAATTGAAATTTTACAAATTTCTTTTCTTTTTACAGTTAAAATCTGTACATAATACCAATTTAAAAATGTTAATTGATTAATGATCTAAGTGTTACCAGTGTTTGGTTCTTTTAACTTTAAAACTTAGAAAGTAGGTACCTTGTTGAAAACGACAACAGTTCCTTTTTAAACGAAGTCAAACTGCATGTTGCTTGAAAAATACGCTCAAAGGATCCTATGTAGGTTGCCTAGGTTCACATCTAGATAAACGAAAGGTTGAGATGTATAAATGGCTTCCAATTCGTAGTACAAAGTGGCTCGTTTGGTACCTGCAACTATTGTGAATCTACATTGCACAATTACTCTGTTTTGCTCTGTCTATTTTGACAGGCACCGCTGTACAAACAAAATGTACTGTTCAATTTAGCCGAGTTTTATTTGTGTTCGTTAGAGCGAAATTATTTGTTCAAATATGATTTTTGTTATTTATACTTACTTTCAAACGTTTTATGTTGATTTTTATTCAAGTTAGTAGTTTGATAGTTGATTTGGATTAAAAATAAAGGACTTTGTGATTCTCCAATGACTGGAAAACATACTTTTGACTACAGTTTTACGCGTAGGTACTTACGTAATTAGCATTAAATTTTAATTATATCAGAAAATAGTCTAGTTAGTTAAATTATCCTGAATAAATGCAGGAGATTTACCTTTCTTCTCTTTCCATTCTATCATTTATACTGACCTCATATCTAGCTTCGCTGCAGAGGTTACAATGTTTCGATGGCGGAAAAGGTGGACTGTCCAGGGCTTTATCTGTGTTCTTATACAGCACAACAGTAAGATTGTCTCCCGTGTACCAAACTTCATCGTTCTCAGCAACCATCGCTCGGATTCTTACTGTTTGATTTTTAGAACTTTGCTTCGGAGACACCCAGTGGATCTGGTGAAGAAACGCACGAACTAAATGACAAGCCGTATATGCTAAAAAGCGCAGGCATTGTTTACCAATAATGGTGTGTGCCCCCGGATAATGGTTATTTTTGAGTAGGGATAGTCATCAAATGACTTCTCCTGTTTGGGTGAGGTGAGATGGACCCGACCTTTTTTATCAAAAACCCACTTTTATTCATCTTCTCTTCTTTTTATTAATATTATGTTAGTATGCTATTGTAGCGACATCAACGTCGTCACAAAAATCCTGCATCGCGCAAGCCAGATTATCCGCACGATTGGAACACATAGAACAAACCCGAAATCACCTGTTCCCTCATACCTCTAAACTATTATGTAACTGAGGAGTGGTCGAGTACTTGTCAAGATTTCCAGAAAGTTTTTCTGGAGTTTGAATTGAATAAGATTATATGCGTTCGTACCTACTAGATAAGTAGATACTATATTATAGGTTTATGCGATACACGATTATTCCGATACGAGTATTCGATATGCTAGTGTATTCTATCATAGTTGCTGATTTCGAGTCAGCCTTTAACAGTTTTTTTAACGTACATATATAGGGTAATTTAGCTTATGAACCATTTGATGGCGATCGAAGCGATCAGCGCCGTCCATGGGATATCAACAGTATCTAAGGAACTGCATACCCCTTACTGGTCGGTAGAACTCTGAGGGAGAGATGGTTTCAAAGTAAGAGGACCGTACTAGGTATCCCTAACGTAAGCAAGGACGTAAGGTGCGGAGGGATACCACAGCACTCGCGTGTCCACAGAAAGAGCGCGAAAGGAGAAAGCGGATACAAGAAAAAGTGGGTGATGCCTATTATGTGCTTAGCTTTTGGGCGTTTACCATGTTTAAATTGTCCTTGCAAGGGAAACAAACTTATTGTGACATGCTAGACTGTTTGTTAGACTCAAAATAGTTTGCATAAATACCTCAACGTCATATTTGAATGAATTATCAGCGTTTTCCACGGAACTTGAGCATCTTTCACTGTAACGAGACTTGTTAATATCTAAAGTCTTCAATGTGCCGACGTCAATGTTTTTATGACTAAACTCGAAGATGTTATTGTCCACTTCTGGATCCTCAGCAGTTATCATAAACCATTTGAATGTTTTGTCAGGGACCGTTGCTCGTATTGTCACTGAAACATAAGCCATGCTAGTCAATTGTTGGAGTATGAGCTTCCCAAATAAATATAGGAGATAGTGGTTATCTCCACATTTCGCTGGTAGGATGAAGATCGTGGTTTGAAAAATATTTTTTTAAAGGGCGCCGGCGCCATATTTCTCTTTTAATAATATTGAATTAATTACATAATTATCGTTTTATTATGAACAATATTATTCATTCATTTTTAATTTGTTCGCGCCTGATTAAATTGTGTTAGCAATTTATTGTATGAATGCATTTAATTGCATTGTATTTTAATGCTGGATATTTAGCAAACGTAAAACCTTTAGGTCCTTTTTATCATATCTATATTTTATCTTTTATAATAAAAATTTTGTTAATTAAGTACCTAACTGGAATTTTGTTTAATACGAAAAATATTATACGTGCTACTATTTGAAAATATTTTTAATTATCGAATTAAATCGAAAATGTAGGTAGGTATGGACTAAATGTATTTATTAAACCACACAATAAATCAATGTTGGAATGATTACTTACATTTTTTATTTTTGTACAACTACAATATTTTTTTTTAATTATTTTCAAAATACATATAGGTACATAAAAATACTTACAAACGTATGTTTGGTCAGGTGAGTAGTAAGTTTTTTCTGCCCTTCCAGGTGTGTTCTGAATGTCTAGTCTAAATATACCTGTATCTTTGGAAGGCTCTAGCACCTTGGCTTGGGGAGGGGTCTGGTCGCATCGACCTGGTTGTCCACTTACATAACCAAATGATACAAGCAAGACTATATAACATTGTATGTTGTACCTACAAAAACAAAAGAAAATAGGAATTAAGAAATAAACAATAGATAATTTTCTCGTTTTCGTCCACATGCCACGTGAAAGCGGTTTGCGAGTTAATCTGAGCATTCGCCAAATGGACCATAACAATAATAATGTTAAGAAAATGTAAAAATTTGCACGTGTTGATAAATAATAGTTACTACAAATAAATGAGTACTTATTTAAAATCCAAAAGACATAAATGTTGTCACAGATGAATAATAAAATCCATAAAAATATAATGAATTCAATAATTCGTGTCAAAGTTGGAAACTTATAATATTACACACTATATCAAATTGAAAACAATCTTGTATATTGCTTACAAAGTCTTACTTATTAACTCTCAATAACATTTAAGTCTTTCGAAAATAGTTTTCAAAGTCAATCCATTACAAAATTAATATAAGTTTAGTCATTACCAAACTATCAATAATTTGAGACATGTTAGCATCAAACAAAATAGGTATCTACATAGACTACGTACATTTTATTCTATCGAACGAATTCGTATTTCGCTGAACTAGGAACATTAACGGACACTGCTCACTTCAGACTGTAAAACTTTAGTATTACTAACTTATATTTTGGTTAGAACTCAGACAAATTGGTGCAAATTCAATTTCTTGAATCGATTAGGTTAACGCCGTCAACTAAACATAAAACTCAAAATAAACTTAAGAATCGTGTGGTTGGAACGGTGCCAAACTGCCAGAAATACGGCATATTTCTTTTAGATGCGTTCAGAGTGGCTCACAAACGTTTGCTTTACTTTGTTGTTACTCGGTTTGGTCACTGTGTACACTTTATTGTGGTCTGCACTGTACTCTTACGAGTGTTTTAGAGTAAACATATTGCAGAATCGCCCTCGTATAAAATTATTATTTTTCTGACCGTATAAAACGTTAGCGAATGATTCTTTGAAAATAAATAAAATTTGAAATGGCAACACTGTTTCGTTTCGCGGCAATTCTATAAAAAAAATTAGGTTATATTTTACTTATTTGCTTATCTTTTCTCAGTATAAGATATATTTATATAAAAATAAATAAATGGACTATGAGTAATATGAGTATTATTGTTTTATGTTCAAGTTAATTAATTTTTATTTTGTTTTGCGTACCTGTGCCAATAAAACTAAAACGACTTTAGTTGTTCGTTTGTAATTAAATGCTATGAGTTTTCTTCCAGGCGTTAAAATTTTAATCAGCGGTTTATCTCGAGATATTAAATTTAACTGTTCGTAGAAACTTTTCCGATCCGTGGAGAACTTTATGGGTTTAGTAAACAGGATTGAGAAGTTTTAATCAGGAAGATTATACTATTTTTATGTTAGACACAACTGTTTGCATTCAGTTTCCGATATTAGGATTAGTGATCCCAAAATTTTATTCTGATTTATCATAACTATCATACATACATCAATGGTTAAACAACCATCTTTTCTTTGTGAGGGGAAAATCATCAAATGACTTCTCCCACTCAGGGCCGGGCGGAAGAGAGTGTCAGACTCTTACTGACTTAAAACCCCCTGTTCCTTCTTATGCTCTGGGCTGAAGTAAACAACCATCTGATCTCAATATTTGAAAGATGTTTCTTATAATCATCGTGTCTGCTAATCCTGGGGAATTTGTTAAGCTGATGAGATGCTAGCGAACGAGAGGACTTCAAGGCGGTGGTTTAGTAGACTTGACGGTTAGTTTGCCGGTGCGCCAAGACGGTGGAAGTTTGCCGAGCATTTCCGACGTTTTGCTCCCAAATTAGAACAGACAGGGTCTGCGCTCTAGCGCCTTCTGCGGTAAGTTTTATTTACGTAATGTATATTACATCGAGGAGTGCGCTCGCCTAATTTCAAATCACGATAGGGGCTCATAATTAGGGAGGTAATGACCGAACGCAGCCCAAGTCTAAGAATTTTAAGTACTAGGTAGGTATTATTTTTTGTTGCACAGGAAAGAAGAAGCCTCAGAATACAGAACAACTGTATTCTGAGGAAGAAGCTTAGAAGCTAAGCACACTTTACAATTCAACTTTATGTTTTTAAAGGCGAAAAGCTTCATTCATAGGCAAAATAATCATCATTGTGAGGCACCTGAACGCGTGGAACTGTCGTATAAGTTGAGCGAAGAAAGGTATTTGGCATTTGGAGCGAAGTGCACTAGAGACATCCTTACTTCAGTGAACGCGAAATATTAGAATGACTGTGTCGTGTAGAATAATAAACTATATCGCTATATATTTATTAATATTTTTTTTAATCGTGGTTATCGAGACAAAATAGTAGAACAATAGGACGCTGGCGTTCGCTTGGGGTTTTATGGTGTAATCTATAGTTTGACATGTTTATTTATTTGTTTGAAATCGCTGATCTTCGAAACTGATGGTTCGAATTACACAATGCATTTTGTGTTGGATAGTCCCTTTATAAAGAAAGGCTATTAAAATTAGTGTAAGACCAAAAGGACATGGAAAGAGGGTAGCGGCTGTTCGGGAGAAGAAGTACTTAGCTTGTATAATAAAGAACTGTTAATATTGTAATAGGATAGTTGCTAGGCACAGAATATGCAGGGGTTTTTTTGTCACACAGAATTGTCTAATGAAAAAATAAGAATTATTTAGTGCAATACAATATAAAAAATACAAAATGTTTTATTTATTCTCACAATTTTTAACATAAACTTGATTTGTGGTGGCTCCTCCTTTTAATCAAGTGATACCTGTGTTAAGAGACTTTTATATCTAAAACTAGTTTTGCCTGCGACTTTGTTCGCGTGGAATAGTGACTTCCTGCAGATTTTTGGTTTAAAAACTATCCTATGTCCTTTCTCGAGTTCCAAGCTATGTCTGTACCAAATTTCACACAAATAGGTTCAGTAGTTTAGGCGTGAAGAAAAGACAGGCAGACAGACAGATAGAGTTACTTTCGCATTTATAATATTAGTTTGGATGGATTAACAAACTTACTTAATATTGTTTTTTTAACCATAGATATTACAAGATACATACTAAAATACTAAGCCACTTCACCGCTAGTAGAAATATTCTAATCTCTTAAGGCTTCTCAGTATTCTGTGAAGGAGTTACAGATAATAATTCACTTCATACAAACTTTCTAAGTTAATCTCTCATTGAAGTAATTTACTCATTACTTAACCTACATTTTCAGCCGAGGTTGCGGGGCAAGCGAAATGAGTCATCGCGGCCTCTGCCCAGAGCAGGAGAAGGAACTTTTATAGTCAGTAAGAGTCTGACACTCTCTCTCTCGCCCTGGGCGGGTGACGTCATTTGGTGATTTTCCCCTGACAAAAAAGAACCTAACCTACATTTAACAAGCATTAATAAAACACTACTAATTACAGCGAAGAATCAATTTAAATACAATGGAGTCAGGTAGCACGAACAAGCCAAAACAGAAAAAAACCCACAAAATACAAGAGCCAATTGTCTCAAATTACACGTAAAGTTGGACACTTAAAATAAAATACGGTACAAACATTCCGCCATCAATTTCTTTGTTAATTGAACAGTTAGGAGGATTCCTCCTACTTACCTCCCCCTCTCACCCATTATTTCGCACTCCTCCGTATAAAAATAGAAAACTATGATACGTTTATGTACCTGATATCTATGGTTTAATTTCTTTTCAGATCGTTCGATCGAAAATATATTGTATTATAATTGTATTGTCGATTAGTTAGCTCTGTTTCTTGCAGCGGTTTCACCCACGTCACTGGTTTAAAAAGTATCCTATATGTTTTTTTCTATCGACGCCGACGATCACCGGCCACCGTAAGCACGGTTCTGCGGACGGCGAGTCGGCGAGTAAAGGTAGCTAGCCGCCCGACCAAAACCAGACCCGAGCGAACCACTACCTCGGTCTAGATCAGCAGAAGAAACGGGGGGATTTTTAGTCAGTTTGAGTCTGTCACTTCCTCCCGCCTCACCGTTCCTTTTCTACCAGTCCTTTGACGATTTTCTCCTTACAAAAAAACATTCTATACCTTCAGTTTTTTTTTTCACAGAAGTTCCTTTGGTGTAAGTTTTTGATGAAACGCAACAACCATTTTCTTTCTAGATTTATTACGAGTTCCAGGTAATAGGGGGCTAAGCTACACAGAGCACAAAAACAGATTTCACGTTAATGGTACTATACAAAGGATTTACAAAAATCACAGTAAAACTGCGACAGTACAACTTTAAATCGTGGCAATAACATCGGTTTTTGTGTATCAAATATTTCCCTCAGCCAACTGATCTTTGCTAGCTTAAATCGGTTCAGTGTTCGTGGAAAACCAGCCTTTTCGGAGTGTCCACTTTCAAAGGAACAAAAGTGAGTTGTTTAACAAACCATGGAGATTTGCTGTTGTGGAGGCACACACCGTACTCAAATTATTTATTCTCAGAAAGACTCGTTGAAACTGACTGATAGTGAAAACATTTCATTTTGTATCGTTATCTTTTGTTTAAACATGTGGGAGCTCACAGGTTAGGGAGCCCGCTTCTCAGGCATGAGTATGCGGTTTTGAAAGCATTTGCCATGACAAGAAAGATCCAATATGTCTTTTTCCGAGCGTTATGTTGTACTCTATAAGATTATTTAAACCTCCTTGGCAGACAGTGACGGAAAACGTCGTAAGAAAATGTTTAATTGTATTTTTGAATTCAGCAATCCGTTCTTTTCTTCTGTTTCCATTCACACCTCGAATTCTATTCACCCCGTTTCACTGTTACATGGTCCGTGTGAGAAAAGAAGCCTTTGCTCAGCAGTGGGCACTTATACGAGTAAGCTGATGATGTTGGATTGATGATCTTGTTGACGTTATTTTCAAGTTAGATGTGAGTGCTTAATTAATTATGCATTTCTCTGTTTAGGTCTGAGTTTTGTGGTTGATGACGAAGGTAACACATAGTAAGCGGTGACGGTAAAGTATCTGATCCTATAAAGAATAATAAGACAGAGAAAGGCAGCAGTCCTTAATAAATGTATAAATTTGGAACTGCCATAACAACGGTCTACTTATCAAGTAAGGATGGTTCTACATTTGAAAACGCACTCTGATAAAACATGTTTTTTCAAACTGCGTGTCTCCAAGCTGTCTGCTTAGTGTGGTGATGATAGCCAGCCCTCTAAATACTTTGTCCGACCCCTTAGGAGGCGTGTTGGCAGCCACTCGTCCAAACAAGGGGTCAAACCACGGATAAACAAATCTAGGTGAACCTGACACCTGATATTTCGCAAACAGTCTACGTATTTGAGATGAATTACGAACCTACGGACAAAGCACACATATTTCCTATGGATCCCATCACAGGCGAAATTAACATGAACATAACATGCAGACACTGTAACACCAACCTTATTCTCATGGATATACGTTTTGAATTCCCCTTTCAACCGAATTCCAGATCTTGAAATTGTGTCTGAATTTTAGCTTGTTCGTTCCGACTATTTGGTTTTAGTAGCAAAATATTTGAGTACTTATTTATGCAGAATTATGTAGTGTATACATACTAAGTAGAAGTGAAGTTTCTTGCGTAAATATTATTATTGCAGGGAGATTATAACTTTTTGTCTAATTAGGATTTTGTGTTAAGGGAGTCGAAGTGTGGGAGAGCCATGCTTCGGCACGAATGGGTCGGCTCGACCGGATTGATACCACGGCCTCACAGAAAACCGGCGTGAAACAACCACAGTGTTGTGTTTCGCCGTGTGA